AACCAATTTGACAATAAATTTCATATTAAAAAAATAAATAAAAGACTCTTATGGTTTGTTTCCCTCTGTTTTTATGTTATTTTTGCTTCCCTTCCCCTATGTTCATCTGTTTCGTTTCTTAAATTACACATGAGTGAAATCATATATTTGTCTTTGAATGATTTATTTTGCTTGTCATCATAATATACTGTAGTTCCATCCACTTTGTTGCAAATGGCACAATTTCATTCTTTTTGATCACCAAGTAATATTCTAGTATATATGTATATGTGTGTGTATGTGTGTGTGTTTGTGTGTGTATACACACACACAGAGATGCATACACACACATACACACACACCACATCTTCTTTATTCGTCTGTTGATGGACATTTGGGCTCTTCACAATTTGGGCATTGTTGATAGTGCTGTTATAAACATTAGGGTGTATGTGCCCTTTCGAATGAGTATTTTTTTTTATCCTTTGTATAATTTCCTAGTAGTGCAATTGTTGGGGTATAAGGGAGTTATATTTTTAAGTTTTTGTGGAACCTCCATAGTGTTTTCCAATGTGGCTGCACCAGTTTGCATTCTCATTGGCAGTGCAAACTAGAATTTTAATTCAGGGGATACACTTGTAATATAGGATTGGGTTACTTATGATTATGTATGTCTAGCATTTGAAACTGTGACTTATTAGTACATGAATGTGTTGAAGAGGTTTTACTCTCAGTGTTTTCCCCAAACTGCTTACAAAGTTATAGCAAGATGATGAAGCTAAGGAGCAGCGATGGGGTAATGAGTTCTAGCAATAACCCCATATATATCGGAAATTAAGGTAAAAACTAGTCATTATAAGATAAATGCATTTAATGATTTTTAAGATTAATGTACAACATGGGAGTAACATAGGAAGAAACAGTTTGGGATTACTGAATACTTTAGACTAATTTGAATAACATGCTAAATGGAAACTGTATTGTTTTACATTTTAGTAACTTTTCATGTCTTTTCGGAGGTAGGCTAATTCTTTGATATATTTGAATAGATTTGGGTGATACATAATGTTTTGTGTTAACTTGTATTCACTATATTTTGTGGAATAGAATATAAACATTTTAACTAAGAAAATTAATAATATAATTTCTAAAAGTTTATCCTGTGGGTTTAGGAGGACCAGCAAACGTTAATGCTAGTGTCTGCATTGCAAATTTAAGCATCTTTCAGTGACAGTTTATCTCAAATCCATATCATGTTCAGACCATGAGTATCGCAGTGTAATTTTTTTTAATGGGGATGAGGAGATTGTTAAGATATACATAACATTATATTTCCATGTCAGTTCTATAACCAAGAATTTTTAAGTTAATTGCACTCTGGACACATTTTTCTATAGTAAAATATTTACATCTTCTGTGTATTTTATTTTAAAAGTTTTTTTGAAAACCTGTTGTCTGTCTAAAATGGTATTTTTTTTTTTTAATAGGGAGGGCTGAAAAACAGCAAACATGAATGCACCCTGTCTTCACAAGAGTATGTTCATGAATTACGATCTGGTATTTCAGATGAGAAACTTCTTAACTGCCTTGAATCTCTGAGGGTTTCTTTAACCAGCAATCCTGTCAGGTAGGTGATTCTTACTGCTTTGGTATGATTTATACAATTTGTATTGCACATAATTGTCAGGAATACAATCAGTTACATCATTTTCACTTCAAGATTTTTTGACCAACACTCTCATTTAGCTAATAAAACAGCCATGTTTGAGTATAAGGTTGTAAATATTTAAAAAATATAGTTAATCTGATTTCTAATATTGTGCAACTTTAAGCATACAAATATTATTTTGGATGTTTAAAATTTTTTAATGTTTATTTTTGAGAGAGAGACAGAGACAGAGTATGAGCCGGGCGGGGGGGGTGGGGTCAGAGAGAACCACAAGATCATGACCTGAAGTCAGATGCT